ACTATTTATTATAAACAGAGCATTTACTTAAAAATGAAAGCAACGTATAAACAGAAAATATATTAAAATAATTGTCGGAATTAGTCCATTTCATATATATTTATATATATATATATATATATATATATATATATAGAGAGAGAGAGAGAGAGAGAGAGAGAGAGAGAGAGGAGTCAGTTGCTGATATCACCTGACGAGTGGACAGAGCGATTAATGTAAGGTCCGTCGAAACTGTAGAATCAGGATGCTGTAAGGCAACAACAATCAGCTAAGTGACAAATTTCATATATATATATATATATATATATATATATATATATATATATATATATATATATATATATATATAATGACTGGGTACTAGCTAGCTGATCATTTTTGTAGATTCCAGGAGAGGTACATTTGTGTTTCTTCAGCAGCTACGGAGCCCACCTGTAGTCCTTACTGCAACTATCTTGAACAGATCTTAGTTACACCTTCTGCGAGGGTTGCATAATCTGGCGTGATCGTATTTCAAGAAAGCCAGTATGAGCGAACCCTCGGACGCGATTACTTGTGACTTTTGGACTAGTACAACCATCAACGACCTCTAGACAGTTTCATCTACCCAATTTCACTCTCAAGTCTTGGGATAACCCTTGATATTTTTTTCAGGCATTTCCAACGATTTCGCATGCTGGAATCGTCTCCCTCGGCTGACATAATACTTCATATAAGTATAACTGAACAAAGTTAAAAGTTTTATCGTTCACACCAATTTTATGTCATCTACAGTTTTATTTCAAATATCTTACGTCGTCATAAAAGTAACTATTTTTTGAAATGATAAAAGAAAAATACATTGGTATATAAACTTATTCCCTAAAAGAAATCACCGAAGATTGATGTAAAAATCCATGAAACTCTCATGAAAGTTTCATGGATTTTTACATCCAATCTTCGGTGGATATATATATATATATATATATATATATATATAATAAAATATAGCTTCAAGGTATTATATATTTATGAGTTAAAGTGCCAACTATCAGGGATAGAGCGTATGTAAATAAATGTAAAAGTGGACATTGATGTCAACACCCAGTGGCCACCGTCCGCTTCATGCTTAAAGGCAAACGTCAGGCCTGGCAATTGCATGAAACCACTTGGTGTTGACCTAAATGTTCACCTATATATATATATATATATATATATATATATATATATATATATATATATATATCAGTGGTGACTCTATTTCATCAATGTTTGTCGAGCTCATTACAATCTTTTAACAAAAATACACTATTGGTATAACTTAGATGCTAAAATGATTCCTTTACTCAAATAAAAAAAATGATAAAATCTTTAGCTTTATGTCTTTTTTTAAAACTATGTACCTATCTCAAGTGTGTGTTTTTGTACACATTGTGTTTATGTATCCCACTCTCTGTGAATTTTACGTTTTGCTGTCTGATATCATATTCCTCAACGCTACCTCACTCATACTCTCATCCCTAACCCTAGTCAACGAGTTAAGGCTTTCTTTGATTTTCTACGCCATTCATTTGCCCTTTTTCAATTGATACATTGTCTTAAAAAACTTATACTGTACGGAATAAATTATTTAAAATGGACATTTGAAGAGAATAATTTGAAATAAAAATGATTCATTAGATATTTTAAAAAGATTATTAATAAAATTAAAGTCTACTAAATGTCTCTATCTCCGATCTATGTAGCTCGACTAGCCACGTTAATTTTATTTCATTCTTTTTTTACTTACTTTCTTTCTTCGTTTTTTTTTCTTTTTTCCTTCTTTCTTTCTTCTTTATTATGAAAAATATCAACGAAATGTATTTCGATTATTATTTTGAGGCAGGGCGTTAAATAAATTGAATTTCGATCCAGATGAAGTCAAGAATGAAAAGGACGCACTACGGAAAAGTTTTGTTGTTTTGAAATAGATAATGTTGACTCACTTGGACTCAGCCCGATCGCCGGAGTCGCTACTGATATATATATATATATATGTGTGTGTGTGTGTGTGTGTGTGTGTGTGTGTGTGTGTGTGTGTGTGTTGTTAAAAAGAAGACATTTTATGTTTATTAAAATTATTGATTATTCTCTCTAATATGCGAATAACTTTTTGCAAATGAAGCTATTTGTAGATGTAAAATTTATACAAAATGTGTATCAGGTTCACGCTTTCGACTTCCATCAGTTATCATCAGGTGTGTGAGTAAGCAAATAGAAGAAAATCAAGTTTATTTTAAGCAACGTGTTGTTTTGAAAGCATCATTATTTTTTGTTTGAAAGCTAAATCCAATTCAGTAGAACGCAGTAAGTCATGATAGCAACGTGTAACGGCAACGTTTATTTTAATATACATTCAAGAATACGCGATTTTAGACTATAGTTATTTTATCAATAGATGAATGCTTTTGTTGAATATAAATGCTTTCAATAATCTTTAGTTTTTTTTTGCAATTGAATTTATGAAGTATATTTATTTACAGAGACGTAATCTCCGATTGGACAAATGAAATCAGAAACAACATTCGTCTTATGAAGAGGGTTGTTGGGTTGAGAAATATTATTTTTGATGGTTAAATGATGGTATCTGTCTGCATTTCTGAGATGAGGTATTGTAATTATTTACCCAATTTACATTGTTCGAACTGCTGTTCTCATCTTTGTTGCCATATTCACAACGTTTCGCCCGTTGTACGCTACGGCCTTCTACAAGTGATTGGAAGAGTTTGGTACGAAATTCCAATCACCTGAAGTAGGCCGGAGCGCACAACGGCCGAAACGTCGTGAATATGGCTAGAAAGATGAGAACAACAGTCCAAATAATGTAAATACTGTAATAATTAAATTACTGGTTTAATTTTTAATAATAAATGATGAATTTTAAATGTGTATTTTAATCAACAGGTTTAATGTGTCCATGTATTATGCTGTTTTTAATGTATTTCCTATCTTTTTCTAGTGGTGATGCATTTGAAGTGTGTTGATACCATTTTTGTATCTTGAGGACTCGGGTTTATATTAAAATTATTGTTTTGTTAGTAAAGTCTAATTTAATTGTCAACAATTTAATTAGGGAAGCCGTTGTTAATAAATGTTTGTTTTAAGTTACACAATTCGTTGAGAAAAAATGTTCTAGATGAGGCGATTAATTTAGATTTTTGGATTAAATTGTTAACGACGATAAATTTAGAACTTTTAGGACATTCACTTTTGTATTTTAGGAGGTAAGATTGGAACTCGAATCAGATGATTACGGGGGAAGTAGTAAAATTCTGACTATTATAATTAACTTTAAAAACTGTTTTTTTTTTTCAAACTTTTCTTTACCTTTACTTTGTAGCAGACGTTAAATCTTTTTGCTTGACACGCATGCGTTGATAATCTAATCAACAGCATAAACGGCTTTTCAGCTTTTAGGCATGCATAAAAAGGAAAAAGAAATGGAAACACGGGTGCTTGTAAATCTAAGAGGATAACTCTCTTTTACGGCGGGCCGAAATCGGGATAGAACGCTAAAATTAGCGCTCTAGGCAATAGACACCCATATCGTAAACTATACATATCGCTCACTCTCTAATTCACCAGCAGAGTAAGTTCAACTTTTCCTTCATTCTTTACAGAGACGCATTTCACATTTTCCTTCAGGAATTTTCCTCGAAATTTTCTTTACGCGAAAATGTTCCCGATAAAATAAACATTTCTGTCTCGTTTTGTTTCACTCTTTTCTTTGTCTATTTTCTCAACCAATTCAAAACTTTTTTTGTTTTTTGTTCATCAACGCCAACTCATTCTCAGTTTCAAACGACGACCCCTTTACAACAAACTATGTCATTAGCAGTTTTAGTTTGTATTGAAATATCGTCTTACATAAATATTGGATTAGTTTAATTCAGGAAATAATTTGTTTTCAAGAAGAGCCATATAAAAGCTAGAGAAAAAAAAGAACTTAAAGGATTGCCCATAGCAACACCATCAGTCTGGATCTAGATATTAGCTAGACGATTATTAAATGTAACGTGCTGTGAATGCTAGTAATAGTTTGTTTTTTATTTAGTTGTGGGGTCAATTTATAAAGTTAATTTGTAAGAATTCATTGGGAGACTTAAGACTATAATTTGTTGGTAAATATCGGATGATTAATTGATTTAGTTTTAACTAATTAGTATACAGGTGTGGTGAGTTGTGATATAATAGGACAGACTGAGTTACCTGTTTATGGATTTTAACATTACAACTTATGTAACCGAGATTCACCTGTAACTTTTTAAAGTTGAACGATCCTGTTTCTATGTTATCCAAAGATATACGATTATTTATTTATTTTTTTTCACATGACAGGTAATATATTTAGCGATTGTTATTGAGGATAGATTGTCATGTTGTGTAGTATTCATTCTTATTTAATGCAACAAGAATAATATAACAACAATTTATCAGTTTTCCTAATTATGAGCCCATCACTCCCCAGGTCAGACAACAGTCGATGTCCTCAGACCTGAAGGCTAACCTTGGTCACTGACTCGTGAGCGTTGATTCCATTAGAGCGGAGATCCCTATCTGGCCTTTGACTTCAGCCCTATGCCCAGCGATGCTGTGTTAGCGCCATCTTGGATATACAGCCAATAGTAACAGTCGCTCGGCTGAACACCTCACTGGTGAGAACCTTGAAAAATTATACATGTTGCCTGCATAGTTCAGTGCCAGATGCAATGAATTAAGGGATTTTTTCAGGCTTCTACGTTTTCTTATTTTCTTCTTATTTTCTGCTTCATTCTTTTCGTTTGTCTCTATCGTTTCTATATACTTTTCTTCCATCTTTTGTTTTTCCTTTCGATTCTTGCAGGCCTCAACATGTCGACGAAGGGAAAACTTGCTAAACACATTAATTAGTCTGAAGAATATATCAAAGTCATTTCAAGAACTTCGTGATTCTCTTCGTCCGATTGACTGTCGGACGAGGACACTTCACTCCGTAATCAAAA